TAATTGATTTTTTTCCCTCACCTTTGAGGCCCAAAAGCATAAACCCAGGGAAGTCTCCTGGCTGGGTTTGCAGGAACTTGACTGTGGGGTCTTATCAGATCCTATATGTTTGTCGCTCTCTTTTAGCCTCCTTCACGTTTCCAGAGTACACTGGTTTTCCTTCTCATCTGGCCAGACAAGCCTCTAGAGAATGCAAATCCATTTTGCAGGCTCACTTTGTATTCTGTAAACTTTCAGTTTGAAATAAAGGCATTGTCTCCCTGTCGAATCTCTGCTGTGCACAGGCATTTCTCTCAAGAGCCAGGGCAGGTGGTATAGACAGATCAAGCATTTCCAAGGAAACCCAAGAGACATAATTGCTTCTTTCTAGGTAGTGTGGACACACTGGATGAGGGTGGCTGCATCACAGCTGATCATTCCCTTGTTAGCATCTGGCCAGAGCGATGTAATGACCGCATCGCCCCGCACAGGGCTGTGTGGGCTTGTGGGAAGGTTAGGAAGATGGGGTTGAGGACACCAGATGAGATGCTGGTTGGATGCTCTGCCTGCCTTTCAAAGACTCAGGATGGATTTGTCTCCTGAGCTGCACTATTGCTGTTTTGTAGTTTCAAACTCTCTCCCTCTCTTTCAAGATGTTTTTTTGGTTTAGGGTTTTTTTGTTGTTGTTGTTTTGTTTTGTTTTACATTTCATTTTCACTCCAAGACAGAAGTTATATATCCCCAGCAAAGACCCTCCTAACAGCCGGTGTTCCTGGAGGTGAAATGTTGTGCTGGGTTTAGGTAGAGCGTGGAGTGTGGATAAAAATTGAGACCCCCAAAATTATATTAATGGAGAGAGTCAAGACTGAGTATACACTTCCTGGCAATCTCAAAATCAAGCCCTGGTGCCCCGTGATCTGTGTGGACAGAGAAATGGCATCACAAAAGCATCCTGCCAACGCCGACCATTTATTGCAGCAACCCTGTTTCGACCTCGGACACTGTGCTTTCTGTGCCCTCGGCGTAGAACAGGTTCTTCCCCAGATTTTAATCTGGTACCTCCTTCTTACCAATTACTTCTCTGATTTAAATGCCTCTCATCTGGGAGGCCATCCCCCATTGCTCAAAAAAGAACTTGCCTGCTTCACTTTCAAATCATGCCATTCTTCTTCCTTGTAGAATCTAGAGCTCTCTTACATTCTTAGTTATTAAAGGATTTACTGTCCATCTCTCACCTATACCAGGTAAGCTCTGGGTAGCTTCATCTTGTAAACTGATGCATCTTTGGTGCCTAGAACAGTGTTTGGCACATAGTAGATGTTCAAAAACATATTTTTGATAGGATGGGTGGATGAGTGGTTGGACGGATGGATAGAGAGTTTACTGTATGTTTTAGGTACTATCCTAAGAGTTTTCTAATAATTATCTCATTTAATCTAAGTCACAGGTTTTCATTGAAACAGTTTCAGAGAAGTTAAGTCAGTTGTTCAATATCACACAGCTATTAGCAGGAGAGAAACAATTCAAATTCAGATCTGTCAGCTTTCAAAGCCTGCTTTAACCACTGTGCTATACTGCCTCCCCTGGCATGGAACTTTAATCCCAGAAAGGATTTGGCACTCATATCTCCAGAGAGCAAAGGGTGGAGTCTTCTGCACCCATAGCATCTAGTAAGAGTTTGGCTAGTGTACCTAGAGTTTGGCAACTAGTACCTAGTAGCTACTCAATAAATAGTAGATGCTCAATCAGTATTTGTAGACAGATGGATGAGGGAGTGCCGTGGGTGAATGGTTGGATGGATGGATGGATGGATGGATGGATGGATGGATGGATAGGTAGATGGGTAGATATGGAAACAGAGTCCCAGAGAGGTTGATGACTTACCTAGGATAAGTCAGCAGAGCTTGGATCAAAATCAAAGACTCCTAACCCACTGCTCTCTCACAACACCAAATTTTTGAGAATGAAGCTGAGTGTTTTCCTTACAGTCTAAACTGGGCTTGATGCTTTAGTTCTTTGGCTCATGGGAACTTTTTTCTAGCCCTATGAAATAAGTGTTATTGTATCCCCTCATGTTACAGGGATATTATTATCCACTTGTGTCAATCAGCCCACACAGTAAGTGTTACTCTTATCTTTTCACTTTAGAAGAGAAAAATAAGGCTCAGAGGGTAAATAACTTGCCCTTCTTACCCAGAAGAAAGAGGTGAGGACAGGATCTAGTCCTTTGTCTCCTGACCAATTTTCACTGTGTAAGAGATGACTTATTAAAGTGGCAACATGTAGACACAGTTGTGGGTACACATCTCTGAACAGAAGCTAGGATTCTCCCCCTGGGCAGTCATGGGTAGCAGGGAGTTCACCTTGACACCAGAATTGAGGCCACAAGTGTCCTGTGGTAACAGAGCACAAGCCTGAACAAAAGGTAGACCAAGTGTACGATTTTTGAGCAAGTCACTATTCCCTTGAGCCTCAGGCTTTTCATCTGTAATGTATCAAAAATGCAACGGGGGATAGTTTTCATCATCCATCATAGTATTTCTTCTTGGTGGGGGGGGGGGTTGGGGGTGGAGGGCAAAGAGAAAGTCTTTAAAAAAAGAAATATTTCCTTCCATTATCATTTCAGATTGCAAGACCTATGTCTTATTCTCTCAGAACTTTGTGCAGAGCAGAGTAAACCAGCTGGCAAACAGAATGAGTAATTCCTGTGTTATTCAATGGGTTAATAATTTAACGGTAGCACTTCTTCCATATAACATACCCACATGCAAGTGATGACCTTTTAGATGCCCAATGCCTTTACCAAAAAAGGTGACCTGATGATGGACTTTTAGTCATTGTGGCCTGCTCTGGCAACCAGGGGGATGTCAAAGCACCAGGGAACATCTACCCAATCACAGCATGGAGACAGTCATCAAATTCCTGAGAGAGGATGGGTTCTGGCTCTTGGACTCAGACCTGCTCTTGAATCTACCTTGTTCCATCGCTTCCTGGCCAAGTGACCTCAGCTAGGTTGTAACCTTCTCTAGAACTCAGGTTCTTATCTGGCAAATGGAGTCAATCATGTCTCCTTGTGAAGGATTATTATGAAATTGAAATGAGCAACTATGCACTGTGTGGTAGAGCACCTGGCAAACAGGAGATGCTTATAAATGCCGGTTTCCTTGCCTCCAAGTATGGAGCTGGCCTGTCTCTGTTTTTCTCTCACTCATTCTCTCCCTTTCTGTTTTCCTCAGTTTCTTTGCTTGTTTATGTTTCCATTCAACAAGTATTGCTGTATGCTTCCTGCATACCAGTACTGTGCAGACCCTAAGTGTATGGTGATGGCTGAGATAGGCAAGGCCACTCCTTACAGAGCTTTCGGCCTAATACAGCACAGCAATGGGAGGCCTCCTCTTCCCCAAGGGAGAAACCAACTTTTATGCACCCCCAGTCTCAGCCTCCCTCTTTATAAAAACCACCGGTAAATGCCAGGAATGGAAACTTCTTGCAGTGAAGGATCTGGTTTTAGTGGGGACTCTCCACCAAACCTGATGCAGATCTGGATATGGAGTGAGTACCTTGTAAAGAGCACTGAATGAGTGAGTGAATAGGAAAGCTTTGGGTGGGGATGGGGTCTTTTGATCTTCTAGGCCAGAGTCCTCCCTCTCCCCTCTAGTCCTCTCCCACCCTGCGCTCACCTCCCCCACCCATTCTTTATAGGGACTCCCAGCTCCACCACTCAGCTAGAGACATATTCCTCCCGCTGCTGCCTGCAACCTTCTCTCCATCTGCTCCCTCTGCCTGCTCAGGCTGCAGTGTGGAGATAGTGTGGCTAGGTGGAGTAGGGGGAGGGCGAGGGAGGGCTTCTAAATTGGGGTGAGAGGCCTGGGAAGCTGGCAGGTCTGCAAAGGTAGCCCACACAGTCCCTCTGAGCCTCTGGGAGTGCCTACAAGCCTGTCCCCCATCTAGCCCTTGGCCAGTGCCTGTCCCCAAGCATCTGTCTGTCTCCCCCCCATCTACTGTCCTCCACCACCTCCATTTGTGGGGAAAGACAAGATGCTGGAAATCAGGGCTAGGCAAGAGCAGAGCCTGGAGGGTGGGCCTTGAACTCCAGCTCGGGTGGGGGAAGGGCGCATATACAGCAGCGCGAAGGGGCTGAGCTCAGAGGAAGCCTTGGCCAGCTCTGGCGCCCCTTGACAAAGGGGATGCGAAGGATGGAACTCGGCTGAGAACACAGATACATTTTAATTTCTAGGTCCTGGTTGAGCTTCACAGGGATAGGACCCCCCCCCCCCACCGCCCCACGTATTGGACGCACAATTCCATGGCCATTTGTATTGTTCTAGGGAGACTGACAGCTCTCACCAGATCCCCCAGAGTTGGAGACTTTCTAGGCTACGGGATTCACTTTGGAAACACGGGAGGCTGGCCGCCCGAGGGCTGGTTGGGGCCCAGAGGGGCCTGGGAGGGCTGCCATGCAGCTGAGGGAACTGGGGCCGGGATCCCTCCCGGAGGCCGAGCGATGGAGAGCTCTAGGCTGCTCGCAGGCTGAAGGCTGCGCTGGGTTTGGAGGCCTCCATGTCGCCGTCTGGAAAATGGTCAGGGCGCTCTCCGGCCTCGCCCGGCCGCGCAGGGCTGCCGCGAGCATCCTCCGGGAGGAAACGCTCGGCCCACGGGACGCCAGGGGAATTGGCGTTAAACTTTGCGGGGCGGGCGAGGAGGCTGGCCCCGGGGTGCGGCGGCCCTCTCCCGCCGCCCGCCCCCCTCCCCCGCCGCACTCGCGCGGCACAGGCTCGGCCCCAGCCCCCTCCCCCCTCCCGCGCGCTCCCCGCCCGCCCGCTCGCCGGCTCCTCCTCACTCGCCCGCCCGCGCCCGCGCCCGGCGCAGCTCGGCCAGAGCGACCGCGGGGTGAGCGCGCGTCCGCCCGGGGGCTCCGGCTGCCCGGCCCCCGCCCCGCGCCCCCGCCGCGCCCGCCGCGCGCCCGCCGCCTCCGCCCGCCCCCGGCCCCCGGCCCCCCGCGGCCGCCCCCCGCAGCCACCATGCCCGCGGCCCGGCCGCCCGCCGCGGGACTCGGCGGGACCTCGCTGCTCCTCGCCCTGCTCCTGGGCAGCCCCGCGGCAGCTCTGGCGGCAGGTAAGCGCCCCGAGGGGCGGGGCGGGGGAGGGGGCAAAGTTGCGGCGAGTCCGGGCGGCGGGGGTCGCGGTGCACCCGCGGAGGGAGAGCGGGGCGGGGAACCGCGTCCCCTCGGCCCGGGCTGGTGGAAGTGTGGAGGCGGGGATGCGCCTGAAGGACTCCGGTGCTTCCCTGCTTCTGCGGCGGGCTCCCTCTCGGGCTGACTCCCCTTTGCAGCCCCGGAGAATCTCCTTGGAGTGGGGTCGCCTCCAAACCTCAGATGCCCGGAGCTCTCTGCAACCGCACCGGGGGCTGGGTGCCAGATAACTGTCACCCTTTCGGGGAGAGGACGAGAAGGGGGCCAGCTGACCCGCCCGGAGACTGAGGACTAGATTCCAACTGTGCGTCTTGGGGATGGGGGGTGGGGGTGGGGGCCTCCTAGTGCCGCGCCCTCCTACTCTAGGACCACTTGCCTCGTTTTGGTTTAGGCTGCCCCGGGGGACCGGGTCCCTGGACCGATCCCAACCAAGTGTCTGGATGCCGAACTTGGGTGTGGCATTCGCCTGGAGGCCGGTGGAGGGGCCTTAGGGTTCTCCGAACTTGGCGGGGGAGGGAGAGGGGTCAGGTCACAGTTGGCAACCTGAGCGGACACTCTCCCCCACCACCACCACCACCACTCTCGACAATCTAATGTCTCTAACACTATTAGGAATTGAGGAGGTGGGGGTGCTACTTTCACCCACCACGTGCTTGCGGAGGATGGTTGCTCCTCCTTCCCAGACCCGGAGCCGCACCCTCTTCTCCACCCCGCTGAGGTCCCCCAGGAAAAGTTGTGTGTTGGGGGGTTGGGCGCTTCACTCACCCAGAGCTAACCCCAAGAGTTTTGAAGGTTTAATCAGTTCACTCGGAGACCCCAAAGTGGAGGGAAGCGTTGGTAGACCACCCGACCTCCCCTTGTGGAAAGGTCCAACTCCGGCTCTCAGAAACGCGCTCCTCACGTGGGAAATAAGCAGGCAGTTGCAGGGTCTGCCCAGGCTGAAAACAGTCGGAGGGCGCACACCCTCCCCATCTGGAACCTCGTCTCTTGTTTGGACCGTCTTGACCGGGGTACAGGCGCTGCCCTTTCTCCCCGGGGAGTTCTGGACACCTGGCGCGCGCACCTGCTTTCAGCACCAAAGGCCGCGGACAGCTCTCGGCTCCGTGGGCCCTAGCTCCGGGTCCCCGTCCCTGCGACTCTTCCCCACGGCCTGGAGTGCCCTCCTCAGCATAAATCAGGCATTTTATGCCCCACTCCCTTCTCCTTAAATGTGGAGCCCCGGAGTGCAGAGCGAAGGAAATAATTCATCACCTTTTGTTTAACAAAGCATATAATTAAAGAACCCCCCTTTTATGAAGCAATAATATTCACAATTTACACCAGGTCTGGACAATTTCTCTGGGAAAGATGGGGGAAGAGAATTAGTTTAAATAAATCGTTTCCACCACAGCATGCCCTTTCTTAATTAGCTGTCTTTCCAACAATGGTTTGGTGGCCTTGAACAGGGTCCACATCTCCCTCCCTCATCCCCCTTTTGAATCTGTGTTGTGACTAACACACAGAAAGAACCCAAAGCTACCGAGTGTCTTGCTGGCTTTTCTAAAGTGAGTCTACCTTTGAGGACCACACTCTCCAATACACCACCCTCCAGGGGAAAAAAAATGTCTTAATGGCACATATTGAATTGTCATCTGAGACAAGGATTTCATATCCTGCTTCCTTCACTGGCCTCAAACACAAAATGTGTGTGTGTTAATTTTTAAGACATTTCATATTATTTTTCCAACTGTTCGACACAACAGCTAGCCAGCATATATTTTTAATTAACTTCAGGTCACTGCCAAATTAAAGTCAACTGATGTACTACTTCAGAAGGCTCATTAATAACCGTGTGCTTCTGACTCCAAGACTCTGAGTGGTAAGGAAGGAGTAGCCAATAGCACTGCCAATTCTGATGGTGCATTTGGAAACCATTGACCTATCACAATAAATTCTATTTTTAACCTGGAGCCCCACTTCCGCTAAAGTCAGGAGAGCTGTACATCGAATACAGGGTTGCAAGCTAGTCCTGTATGCCTGTGCAGTGAGGGGATTTGTAAATACTTGAAAGGGACTTGTTGCTACATTCTTATGCAGGTCACGTGATTCTCTGGGCCATTTTGCTGTAAGGCATGAATAAGTATAAAGTATAACTTGTTTTTGAAGAGGCTTCTTATTGTCAAAGATATGCACATGGGGAATAATTGTAGCTACGTGCTAAGACTACAGAGCCTGAGTGTCATTTCTTTTCTTTTTCTCTTGAATTAATAAAGCAAATTCAATATTGCTCAATAAGACTCAAATTTGCTGCCTCCTCTAGTCCCTAATGTGCGTTGTTGTTAAATTCACTTAACAACTATTTTCATTATGGATTGCCATTCTTTTCCAAGGAGTTTTGGCTGCTCCTGCCAGGGGCCACCTTGTCTAAGCTTGAGGAATTCTTCTTTTGTTCACAAGAAGAATTGGTTAGTCATTAGGAAAATACTGTTACGTTCCTTCCTCCCTCTTCCAAGGCAAAGGGATATTTCCTGATCAGAGTGGCTTGTTTTGTGGTTTTTGCTCACAAGTACATTCGTTTCTGCAATTCAAAAAGCTATTCAAAAGGACTCAATCTACTGGTCCCCCTGTTTGGTCCTCTGGTGTACTGCAGACCTCCACTAGGGGCGCTCAAAGCTGTAATTGGTGACGGGGCAGAGGGGCCGAAGTCTGACCTTTGTAACCAGCAGGTGTGTGCAGAGCCAAAGGTCAGCAGAGTGGAGCTCTAAAGACGGCCTCACCTCCACCTCTACCCCCGCCCCTTTCTGCTTCCTACAACTGATTCCTATTCCTCAGAGAAGTTATTGATGACACTTGACATGCAGTGAAAAAGAGGAAGGAAAAGGTGATAAGAAGACAGGCGAATGCTCCACAAAAGGCAGCCTCAGAATACAGAGTCCAGCTGCCCTTTTTTATGCCAGTCTGTGGTTTCCCTTATGGAGCCAAACTGCAAAACACCAAAGAGGCCATGGCAAGGCTGTTCTGGGGAGTTCGAGCTGGGTGCTGGTATTAGATTTGTAGGGTTCTGGAAAAGAAATATTGTGGCTTTGAAAACCTGGGTCCAGGTCCAGCTCCGCTGGTTATGAGAGTGTGACCTTAAGCAGAATTCTCTTCTCTGAGCATCCATTTTACCATCTGTGTAATGGGGGCAGGGGGGGCAGGGCGGTCCCAGTCTGGAAGGATGCTTGCAATGATTACATAATACTTCCTTGTAAAGCACCTGGCTCAAAGTAGATGCTCAAATAATGTTCCTCCGTTTTCTTCCCTGCTTTCCAAAATGCAAGTTGCCCCTCTTACTAAGCACCAAGAGAGCGAACCCCTGAAGTTGGTGTGAAGCAGATGTTGGCATAAATATCTGGACAATTTAGGTCAAAGTAGGAGGGGTGGAGGTGAGATAGTGGGTAGTCCCAGGTACCTATATGTTACCTGTGGCAGGTGAGAATTTTTCTTTGCCTGGTGCAGGCACCCTTCCTTCCGAAAGGAAGGAAGCAAAGTCCATGGTACCAGAAATGTAGGATGGCAGTGTAATGGTTGGAAAGGAGATATAAGGAGAGAATCTTCTGGAGAAGACATTTACTCATTCATTCATTTACCATTTACTGAGCACTTTCTATGCATGCAGCAAGGTAGGGTGCAGGCACCCACGTGGGACACAGGAGACACGGAGTCGTATGATGAGGTCCCTGCCCTAGGAGTGGCAGCCTAGCAAGGGAGATCAGAAGTAAATCACTAGCATCCATGCCCTGTGATCCTTGCTTCAGGAGGCGGCTATCAGAGTGCTGTGGGCTCTTACAGGTGGTGTGGTTCATTCTCTCCAGAGAGTCGAAGCCTTCCCTGAGTGGATAGCTTAGGGACTGGCCCTGCACGAATGTGACAGGGACCAGCAGCCTGAGGAGGGGTTTCTACAGTGGGGTAGTGAAGATTCTGAAGCAGGCTTCGTTTTCGGAGCACGTCACACATGGGTGGAATTAGAGAGAGGGAAACAGGAGTGAGTGGGAGGGGCAGGCAGGTGGGCACCCAGCCTGACAGGGGAAAGAAATCATCAGACATGCCCATCCTCCCCACTCTCCCCTGCACTTCCTGGGCTCAGCAGCTGGCAGATGAAGGCTGGAACAAAGGCCTGTGAGGCGCCGTGTACGCTGTTGTCCACTAGAGGTTGTGATGACACCAAAGGAATCCTCTCTGAAGACAGCCAGTCCCGGTTGCTGAGTACCAAAGGCAGCCACAGTGCTGGGTAAAGCTGTCTCACTGGATTTGCATATTTGCATAATTCTCTGGTTCTTTAGCAGCAGCCTTTTGGCGTTGGTGAAGAGGGGGGCGGGGGTCCCAGAGAGAACAGACCGATTCTCGATTCTCGTGGACCTGCCTGATGTAATTTACTACAACACGACTGAGACTGTGTCTCAACAATGAAAACAGCATTCACGGAGAGTTGATTTTGTTCCAAGCCCTGTGGTAAGTGGTTTGTCTGGATTCGTTCAGAGAATGCTCACAATGGCCCTAATAGATGCCGTTATCATCCCCACATTAGAGATTGGAAAAGTGGAGGCACAGAGAGGTCAAGCAGTGTGTCGAGAGTCACAAAGCCGAGATGTGGTTGCAATCAGGAATCATTTTTTTTTAATGCCGCACGTCACAGTTGCCTCTTACATTCTGCATTCCCCAAGCTCGTGTGCAGATTTTGCTGATATGTGACAGGGGCTGATAAATATTTGTCAGAGGCATGCTGGATGTGCACCCTCTGCCCACCACTGTTCCTGGCACATAGTAAGCTCTCACGGAAAACTGGTCGAATAAGTGAGTCATAAATTGAAACAGGTTACAATGTATGTGTGGGCGATTTCGTTCATAATTGTCGTATCTAACTAGTACTGAATACTCGTTAGGCACTTGCATAGGTTATTTGATT